GGTCAATTCTTTACTTCATTTCTTGATTCAAAAATACTGTGAAGCTGTCTTATTTCAGCTATCACTCACATATAATTACTTTAAGCTTTTACATATAAGCCTTGTACTTTTATCTTAAAATGTGCCTCGACTGATATGTCCTTTAACCGACACCCCTCAGTCCACATCTTTCCTTTAAGATATTTAATCTTCAACTCCTGTCTAGATACCTTTTAACTAACCCTTTTTAACACATTTGCATACTGTTACACTCCACTTAAATGCACGAATCATACACTGCCACTTTGCCTTAACCTCATTAATATTCATGTCACTTATTTCCATTCACAGACCGTTTTAACTTGAGTCATACAACTATGCATATTCATTAATTCACGATTCAGTTAGCAGTGCTGCAAAGTAGAATGAAATATCCTAAATAATGTGACAGGCTTTTCTCAGTACTGCTGAGAAAAGCTAATAAGGTAATACGCCCGCACACGATCCAAATGAGAGGGTGGGGGACACATTGGTTTGTCGCATCAAACTAATATATAGGCTTAAGCAACACTATTAAAGAAAAAGGTACATATATATCGGCGCAGCCTACGCTTTCCTATGTCCAAGAAAATGTTTGCAACAAGTGGTATAAAGAACAACATGCCTGCTTTTTAGACCTTTGAAATAGTCCGTCATCGGAGGTTCATGATAATAAATCATTACCCGGTGTTTGTGATTGTTACTCAACCCAGGCAAGAAACATCATGTATGTATGATAGGGAATATATGACAAATATAATGAATCTGAATCTGTAATGAATCTAATGAAATAAAGGATACTTAAACAAACCTATAAGCCGGTGACACCTGCCAGATGTTGACGCTTTTGCCGCAATTTAACTTAAAGTTCACTAACGCCCGGGGTTGGACTCTTTCAAGTTGCCTTGTTTGTCGCCAGTAGGCCCGTGAACCAGACTGGACACTGTCCGTATAAAACTATTCAATAATGAGTCTGATGATAGCACAAAAATGCCGTAATTGTTTAAAGAAAAAAAAATACATTTTTTATAACATAGTTCACCTGATGAAGCTAGCGAAAGGGTGGTTTCAATTGATTTTGTTAGTCAAAAGAAGGTGTACTTACTTTATTTTTTTGTATTTCATGTGATTTTAGTTTTAGTTGGGGACATTATCCACACAGCGAAGATATTTTACTGCGCGGGTTCCCACATCGCCTCGGGCCCCATAGACTCGTCGTTAACTGGTTTACAGGATTAATATACTTATATTTTCAATGAAGATCATGTTATTATCAGATGACCATTTGCATAGAATCGTATAATGATAATCTATAGATGTTAACCAGATCTTTGTTAGGATTAGGGCAATCCAAGATCCCTAAGGAACTCCGGCGTTTGGTGTTATCCATGCCGAAAAGTGATGATCAATTCTTCCATGTTAACACTATGGAAACGGTTAGCAAAGAAGAGCTTCTACCGATTCTACGGAAATTTCATTTACGAGTGGTTTTTGGAGTTTAAATATTAAAATATTGTGATGCATCGATGAGATCGAATGCTTTTATTGTAGTCGACTGTTATCAGTGGCTTAAAACCATTCATTTGATAGCAGGAGCATCAACTGTGTCTTTCTAGTCGGATAGCGTCCTTACCTTCGTTCCAAATAAGACTTCCACTCATCTGCAATCATAATGCTAACACACATTTTAGAAATGGAGCGAAAGTCACTTTTAATAATTGACTTCTGGGTGGGAACAACGTCCGATTATTTCCATTCATTTGGTACAGAAATGATATTAAGAAGGCGGAGAACACTATTTTAGTGTACAAATGATCAATTCAGTACATATATTCAAACCCTTTAAGAGACACTATATTTTCAATCTTGCAAGTTGTGGCTCTTAGATGGGATATTTTTTTTCTTTTCTCATAGTGAATACTTGATAATTCATTAGTAGCATTTGAATCTTGGAGCAGACATAATATAGAAGTTCTGTTCTTTTAAATCTGTTTAATTAGGCTATTTTAACTCATTCATAGGTAAAATAAACTAAAGTTATAAAGACTCAATATTGACTGTGTGACAAAAAAAAATATATAGGCCTATAAAGGAGATATTAAAGTTTCGGTTAAGCTCGGTTTCCATAGAATCGCTCACCCAATCGGCGACAGTCACCGACAGTGTTGTCGTGAAGGTTGAACCTGGTTCATTTGCCGATTGCGTTGCAAAGGAATCGGGGTGTCTTCCCGATTGCGTCAAAGCAATGCACCCTGAATCGTCTGAATCGAATCGGCAAAGCCGAACCAGGTTCAACCTTCCCGTCAGCTTTCCTCGGTAGGGTGAGCGATTCTATGGAAACCGAGCTTTAGTGTCCTTAAATACCCTATTAAGGGGACACTTCTTTAGGTCACAAGTGTACCTTTTATAGGGATTCATGTTTAATATTTACTACAGAAATTACAAGTTTTATAAATTTTTATTTTTACTTTTGCGATCTGGGGCCTAGTGGGGCCTACATGCTTTATTACCTGTTTATTACTAAGTTGTGATTTGAAGTGTCAATAACAGCATGTATACTATTGAATATCACATAATGTGTTTCATTCAAATTTTATAGTTAATAAAGGTATACTTGCTTTTATCATAAAGATAATGCTTGGCAACTCTTCGTTTAATATTTTAAACTGTCACTGAAGACTGTTCTTAAATACGTTTGTGTGTCTGCATATAGAGGCGTAGCGTAGCAGTATCAGCATTTTTTAATTAAAAAAGTAGTAGATTCAAGGATGGTTTCTTGAGGAACAACGCAATTAGTTGTCCAGATTTCAGTGTTTTGAACTTCTATATTTCTTACGGATCGCTTACAATGTATCCTGCCTTTTCTGTAAATGCAATTTGTAAGCAAGAGAAATCAAGAATTCACTGCTTTGTCTGGCTGACGTTAAGAAGTGTAAATATATTTTGTGAAAGCCGTTCAGATAATTAAGGCAATTATTATTTCTTAAATGTTACATCATTCATAATAAAAAAAAAACACATACTAGATATTTTTTTAAAATTTCATTTTAATTTGCAACTCCGTTGTTTCATTAATCATACTTTCACAGTAGGCCTATAATGAAAAATAATTTGCATTAGAAATATTTAAAATCGAGTTTAGTGGTTCGACTTGAGAATAAAATTTAAATGTAAAGATAAAGATATTATATGCCACCCAAAAAATAAGAACCCATAAGATAATCAAAGAAAACTTTGAATTGATGATTTAATAGAACCACATAATTTTCAATAAATCACATAATCAGAAAAAGCTTTTAATTATTGCAGGTACTATCAAGCATTTATGTTTTGTTTTGTTTTGGGGTTTGTTTTTTTTGAAGAGGGAAACGATTCTTCTTTTCATCTTTATACGAAGCAGTATTTTTTGAACTTAAAAAAAAAATGTTCTGTAATTAGAATTGTTCGCCAGACAAATTCTCCTTTCTCTGTAAATTCTATGCTGTTGCTGTATTATTCATTTTAACATTTCATTAATGTTTACGATTATTATCAATATCTGAGTATTAGTTAAGATGGCAGTTCGGCACATCACCCATCAGGACATGTCAGTAGTTTTATGGGAAGCGAAGTTCGTAACCGTCACAGAAAACATATCGATTCTGGACGGGACTAGGATTGGTTAGCTGAATTGCAACAGCACCACTGACTCCATTCGCACACACGCTGGCAGCTACAGAACCTGCAGGTGGTTGGATATTGCCCACGTTGTTGTTAAGTTGAAGCTCGTAAATGGATCCCTAAAAGTAATTTTAAACATCTATTTCAGTAAGGAAATTTTAAATTTTGTCAGATAAAAATTGGGGAGCATGCCACTACACCTCTCTGAAAATCTACCCCTGTATAAGATCATTGCTACCACCGGGGAAAGCGCCCCGGGGTCCGGGCCTTGCAGGGGCCCGGGATAACGAGGTAAAAAATAATAAAATAAAATAAATAAATAAATAAATAAAAATTATTAAAAGTATACATTCATCCAGTATCATTCATGTGTTTTTCCCACGAGAATTGTAAATAAAGTTGACAGTTTATCGATATGAAAGCGGGTAATTAATCGCTTATAATTCTTTTTCCGTAGTATTTTCATGACTTTTACTACTCGAGAGTTTATGTTTACAATGTATCAAATGGTAAATTCTTGGGCCCTGGATATCTTTAATTAACATTAGTTAGAAAATATGAAGACCTGATAAAGATTCGATTGTCAAAAATACTGAATTAATATAAACCAGTGGTGGATTTAAGGGGAGGCCCGGCCCCATAAATCTTTCAACATGTAACAAAAATTAGAAAAAAGAAAATTCTACTCTGATTTAAGTCTAAGAGTGCCATTTTCCGGAGCCCCTCTATTTGAAATTCCTGGATCCGTCACTGTAAACTTTGATACCTAAGTTATGAATCTTTTCAGCACGTTTGAATAAAAGGAAGAATAGCTTTTAATTTTCATGTTTTTATACTTTATTTTTCATGACCTGGTGAAATTAGGCACTTTATAATCGATTAAATTAGTCCTTTAATCTGTTAAAAGGCCGTAGCTTCAGGGGGTGAGGAGCTCCAGGGATCTGCCCCTCATTCCCACTTGGGACTTGACGGCCCACAGACCCCCGACCAATGGGCCCGGGCAGCGAAGGTGCCCCGCGGCCCTGGCTACCACTGCTAACATGATAGGTCTTCCAGGGGTAGGGGCTGCTATGCACATTTAGGGTAGGACATACAATTGTCCTGGTTTCATATCAATCTGTATAAGGTGGGGTCCAATCAGTTGTGTGACAAAGAGGTTTGAGGCCTAGGCTAAGGCTCTTTAGGGGCTCTCCTGGAGAAAAGCAACCCGCCTCAGCGTATTAGACGTTGAAGTATTTTGATCTTTTTTACACGTAATAGTGCTCTATAAAAGGCCCAGAGTTTGCCAACATATGGGGAGAAAATGCTGATATTTCTTGCATGGGACCCTGGCTTTAGCTATGAGAGCTAAGCTGTTACGCATTGGTGCCATTAGAGAACTCTTCTTCATGAATTTACTATGTGTTTAACGACAGTGGCAAAGACCTTTTCAGCTGGGTTGGTGAAAGTACAAGATGTAGGCATTGACAACTTTTTTTGGACTGTTATTACAGGATTAGGCCTAATGCCATCAGTAACCTAGCCAACGTTAATGCTTACCAAAAAAAATGTGTTTTTAGAAAACATCAATCAATCTTACTTACTGCCGTTGGATTGAAGAGCTGTCCTGTAACGAAACACTCATTGGTAACGAAACGGTGAAAATATGACCGGGTCTGCAGAGAATAATACAATATTCAAAACAACATTATTCTACATTATCCTGAGTTAGATTATTGTTACATGACAGTGAATGTACTGTAGTCAAATTCACTCCGGTAAATATGGCCCCGGAAAAACTGCCCCTGTCAAAAAGACCAAAAAGAATTTATCAACAAGTAACGTTCACCCATTCACAGATAAAAAATGCAAATTATACATAATAACCAAAAACATTTGCTCATTTGAAGAATAAGAAAAATAAGAATGCCTGTGGTAAAATGGTTAATTATTAAAAAAAAGAAAAAAAAGAAGAAGAATAAAACGTGCTGTTTTTTTGTTGCTTACATTGACGTGGTCATGCACAACCTGAACAAGGGACTGCGGTATTCCATTCATCAACTTCTCAATCAAGATTGATTCTTCATTAGCAAACCAGCTTGTTGTCTGCTGAGTTCCACCGGCAATTGTGCAAACCTGCGTCTGAAATCATTCGAAAATGATAGTTATTAAGACATTCCACAGGCCCAAAAACCTTATAAAGAACTCTTAGACAGGATGATAATCTTGGTTATGATTGATTTGATGATGGGTTGCTGTTGTCGGGTGATGACGGTGATGATGATGAGTGATGGGAATGGTTATGATGCCGACCACGAACACCACCGTGCATCTATAGCTACCAAATCTCATGCATCTGGCGTGGCACTTATGCCTTGAGACCCAATCTCCAGCCTTTTGTAAAATTCATGATTTTCCCGATAATTCACATTAAAACAACATACAAAGCATACATCAGATTGTAATCACGACCGATGTTGTTCTATCTTACGCAATATTTATCTTACACAATATATATTTTGTTGTGGTCAAAATTCAATTCCCAAATTAGTATGACGATGATGATGAGGATAACTATGATGTTGTAGGTGGTACCCAAAATAGGGTAATCCAGAGCAGGGATATTTTTTAAAACTACAACATTAAAACGCAATTCTAGCTTAACTCTTAGTTTTAGCTTATTTTAACCTTAGTAACAAGTTTACATTTGTTGGATCATGGTTGAGAAGAGTAGAATAACAATTTCCATATTTTTCACTTTTGTTTCCTGAAAGAATGCGCAGTTTGGCTCTCAGTCGTGTATGGATCACATTACACCACAAATGCCGCAGTGCAAAAGTTAAGTGGCGAAGTGCAGAGGGCCAGGGTGGCGTTGTGTGGCGAGGGGGATGATTGGGGAAGCGAAAGTTTAGTGATCGGAACAATCTGATGATTTTGATGATGAGGACGATGTTGATGATAAGGACGATGCTGTTGATGATAAGGACGATGCTGTTGTTGTTGTTGTTGTTGATGATGATGATGATGATGATGATGATGATGATGGGAGATGGGAGATGGGAATGATGCTTATGATGACGACGACAACCATGCATAGCTCCCAAACATCTGGCATGAGACTCACATTTTCAGAATCAATTTCAAGCTCTCACTCCAGTCCCCTTTTGAACAATTCACACTTTTAAGGATACTAAGTGTATTTTTTATGCTCGGCAAATTTCCAGGACCACAAAACCTACTCTGTTTAGTTTACGTACCTGTAAGTTAATCAATGCATCGTTTGGAAATTCGCAAAATGCTATACACGCCAGCGCCGACAAGCATAGGCACAGTGCTAAGTAAGTCTTCATTATATTCTAAAATAAACAATAAGATACGGTATATATGTATGTTTTGCCATTTGATACCTATTACTTACTATGTAGGTTTAACATTCCGCAAATTACATTAGGACCTGGCTCCATGCAATGCCGTAGCCAGGATTTTCAAAGTGCGGGACAATATCAGGGTCAATGCCGTAGCCAGGATTTTCAAACAGTGTAATATCAGGGTAGACCCACTTTACGCTTAAATTCAAATAATGTGCACCCATTTTCCTAAAAGTTCTCCCATTTTACGCAAAAATATGAATAATATGGATCCATTTTTAAAAAAGTCGACCCATTTTACACTAAAAAATATCAGAAATCTGGACCCATTTTTAAAATGTGGACCCATTCTTTGTGGACCCAATAGAACAATTTTGTAGGACTGTCCCAACTGTCCCAATAGCTGGCTACGACATTGGACCGACTTTACGCGTAAATTAAAACAATGTGGAAACATTTTACGCAAAAATATGAAAAATCTGGACCCATTTTAAGCTAATGAGAAATCTGGACCCATTCTTCAAAAAGTGGACCCATTTTATGCATAAAATTACACAATTTGGACCAATTTTTAAAAATGTGGAACCATTCTTTGTGGAAGGATTAGATTATGTGGGGCTGTCCCAACTGTCCCAATAGCTGGCTACGGCATTGGCCCCATACTATTCAGGTCCCTATAACTGCGTCCACCAACTTTTGACTATTCAGGAGTATGAGCACTCTGGACAGGCTGAAATACATTTGTTTTTAAAAATGAAGAAAAGGTGTGAGGATCCATACCCACGTACTTCAGCCTCGCTTGTGGGTGGGGCAGCAGGGGTGTATCCAGGATTTTTTTCTGGGTGGGTCGTGATTTTTTTAACCTTTTCACAGTGAAATAACAGCAAGATGTGATTAAAATGTCAATACAATTTGTTTGAAGCGGATGGCAGACTCAATTTCAGAACTGCTGGAATTAAGATAGATTACGTCACGCAATTGGGAAGGTCTTTGGACTCATTGCTGGTACCTCATCAATGCTTTTTCATTTATGTCATTGTCAAAAGGGCCTAAATGTCTTTCGAGAAAACGTGGATGTGATTCTGCGTCTTAAATCACTTTAATTGGTCCTCATACGCATACCCCACCATAGATTGACACAAAATATTAGGAGGCTCATCCTTGATATATGGCCTATGCTTCAGCAAAGCACGGAAAAATTC